TCAGATTTTGATTGCATTCCTCTCTCTATATATTTTTGTATTTCCCATATCTATAATTCTTCTGTTTTGATGACTATTAGTTGACTATTTACATATTGATAGTGAATTCTTTACTTCATTGCTTTTGAATTTAATTTCTTTCAGGTCTTTGTAGGTTTAGTTCTAAATGTCTTACTTTTGGTCTATAATTATGTGGATTTAGTTCTAAATGTATCACTTTTGGTCTATAATTATATATATATATATATATAATGAATAATTAATTTTACTGTAGATACCTTATTATATATGATTGCTTGATTAGAGAAGGCATCAATTCACTTCTTAATCATGGCCGAGAAATCTGCTGCTTAGATGACTGGAAATTGCGGTGTAGTGGATGACCGGATGGAATTTTGGAAGAAGCACTCCCAGCTTGGCAGTTAAACATCATTTATTTTGGATTACGAAGTTCTTACCACATATTCTCTTAATTGGTGGTAAACATAATTTTAGATAGACAATTACATCTTACAAAGGGAAGAATAGTTAGCAGAGGCTAAGCAACAGGTTGTCAGAAGGAACGCGAAGTGTCGAAAGAGATGTATAGTTAGTTGAGTCTCATACTTAGGCAGTGTACTGTAAGTTGCAATATGTACCTCGTTCATAAAAGGCTATGCTCTGGCAGTATAGAAATTTACCACAATCGAATAGACTTCTTCATCTGAATGGATGAAAATGTTGCGCTAGAGATATTACTGTAACACAAGCAACTGCTAGCATTCACCTCCCACTTCTTTTTCATGAAATTCAACCAGAGTTTGTTTCCACATCGTATAACATGAACTTCACGTCTTTCATATGCAGATAATTACTCTTTTAATATGTAGACGACATGTATATATGTAACACTTTTGTGGCGTAGTGAGATTTCGTCTGCCAGGGTGGTAATTGATCCAGCAAAAAATTTCCATTGTAAATTGGTCTAAGCACAAAATGTAATATCTATATTAATTTTTGCAATAATTTTAACTCATTTAAAAAGTAACATTCAAAATTATATTCTATATTATAACAAAGATTACTAATTTAACGTGTCATAATGATTATTACTAGAGAAGTAATTAACGTACGAAAAGTAAGAAACGAAAAGTAACGTACACTAATTGTTTTCTGCTTCAAACACACAAACGTTAATAATAAAAAGACAAAAATTTTGTAAAGCCATTTTAGTAATAACACTGAACATTGGTAAGATGAACTGAGAAAAGATTGAAAAAAAAAAAAAAAAAAACAGAAAAATATGTGCCAACTCTTAATGCTGCATTGAATGCTAAACGTATACTACTAAGATGCTTTTAAATTTTTTGTAATTTGGCTGTTGAATTGTATATGGCGTAAGTGAGAAGAAAATTAGGCTTAGTAATAAAACTAAAAAGACAAAAAAATATGCTAGGAGTGAGTGTAACAGCAGACTGGTAGACTACGAGCTCAGCGAGAGTGTAAAAAAGCTTTAAAAACCCCTTTGGGCGACCATTAAAATCTGAAATCTTTCAAATTTCCTGTTAATGTTTTATTATTTTGTTTAATTGATTGTCATAAAATCTATGATATTCGTGGAGGTTTCTCTAAGGCAAACCGGTCTTTATTTATGATATAAACGTATAAAACTCTAAAGAATTTCGTTTGCAGCCAGTCTGCTAGGATTTGAACTACGAGTGATCAGCTGTCTTACCACTCAGCCACTGATAGGATTGATTACTATTAGAACCAACGAGATGTATATGAAGTCGTTATATGAAGTCGTTGATTAGAACTCAAAGTGACTGTAATTATGCTGCAAGTAGGTGTTCTTGGATACGAAGAATTTCTTTCGAAACCAGAGACCTTGCTTTGCAATGTTTTCAAAGAGCTAATAAAGAGCTGTCTGACAGCGTTTTTTCCATTTATTATGTATAATAGTGTTTACTTTGAATATAGAAATGTTATTACAAAATAAAGATATTTATCACTAAGAGAGAAAACATAGGCTTTGATTAAAAGTTTGTTTGTAAGTTTCATTTTTAAATAAAGTACACAATATTTAATTTTTATTATTATTTTTAATATTTATTAATATATTATTTTAAATAAAGTACACAAATTTAAAGTACACAATATTTAACTAGAGTAAATGGCAATTTAGATTAAGAATAATAAGCTGTTGTTAAATTATTCTTTTGGGACTTTTAGATTTTTTCTATCAGAATCATTCTAGAAATATGTAACCACTCTTTGTACTTTCTTCGATAATTCTGATAAATCTTCGAAATTTCTTCTATTCATTTTTATTCGAGGAACCATACCGTATCTTAACAATGAGCGCCGCAGCGTATCATATTACAATTTAATTCTTGTGTGCCCCATACTGAAAAAAAAAAAAAAAAAAAAAAAAAAAAAAGCAAAGAATTACTGCAAAAATCCTTCAATTAGCTCCTTAAAATGATGTTTATTTTAATTCGATGTAACTAGATATACTAATGTAAATATATTGTTTGTATGAAGTACAATGTACAATGAAAGTTTGTATGTATGTTCGAAGTAATTATGTTATTTCAATCTGCCATAATCCAACTTTTGTTAATAGGTTAATTTCTTTGCAATAATTGTATACTATGTCTTTGTAATTGTATATTCAATACGTAAGTCTAATATTAATGTAAAATTACTATGTAAATGTCTTGGTAGGCTAGCATCCGATGCGGGCCAACTAAAAGCCCAGCGGGGTACAGTAGTGCGGCGAAGCAACACCTGTAAAAGTCACTGACGAAGTTCTGGTGCTCCGTCCACTTTTCCCTGTCCCTGTCCCTGCTTTACTCTCGGGGTAACGTTATCAAGCGTAAATTGAAATAACGCTCTAACAACAGTAACGTAGCTGCTCTTAATTGCTTTCTTCTAGAGAATGTTTCTAATACTGATATGGCGTTTTTCAATTGTATAATAGGTTTCATGACTCAACATCCAACGAATTTATGCTTGTGTGAATCAGCTTCATCTCTTTTTCTCATTATTTGTGATTATGTTAATATGTTACGTGTATAAATGATATAAAGAAACAAAACCTCCTCACTTCTAAAGAAGAACCACTGAAGAGAAGTTTGAGATTAGCCAAGTTTTGTGCTTTGCCCTCTAAATGTGGGATTGTCAATGTAAGTGCCTTCTTAATGCGAAAATATTTTGATTTTATCATTACAAAACTATCAAATTCTTTTCAATTAATAATTCTCAACTGGTTATTGCTGTTGTGGTTCGGGAAGTGTGCATGCATTCTAATTTTCCCCGAGATTTGTTTCTTTAAGTATGTTTGAAAACTTGTTTCAGTATAATTGGCTAAAATTTATCTAATCAAATAATTTTTAAAGTTTTTTTTTTTAAATTTAACTAATCATTTTATATCCTTTGGTCTCCTATTCAACTTATATGTCTCGAAATATATATATTTAACGAATATTAAAAAACATACAGGCGTTAAGGTAAAGCATGGAGCAATGAGCAATGTGCACTAACTGATATTTCTGTTCAAAGTTAGGTTTAGGTGACAGTTTACTCAAATCACTATTCATCCAAACTTGCATCTCCTTGATATCCATTGAAGAATGTGTTCAGTTCTGCACTACCCTCCCATCTGGTATGCCACACTGACGAATAGGCAAAACGAGTTTTCCCGCTCTCTCTAGAACGGGCTCTGCATAAGTCAGAATAGGGTAAATTTAATTATAACCATCCTGTATAAAAATACTTTCCTTGATTTAAAATAACGATGTAAAATAGCTTTCCGAATTTTATTTGTTTATAATATAATTTTTATTTATCTACATACTCGCAGTTTGCGCTGTTATTTCGTTTTTCATGTATACTGTGTTTGAAATATTGATGTAAACTTTCAAATCACAGCTTTAAAACGTTTCGCGAATTTTCATAGCTTAAATCGAGACTGCCCCACAGATCTTTCCCTTTTTCTGTTCTCAGTATTATTGCTGCCCTATGTAACGCGTGAAATATGCTTAATACAGACGCATAGCTGTATTCTTCAGTTTATGTTGTGTTTAATGAGATATCTAGAGAAGTGTTTGTCAACATATTGATCTTGAGTCACTGTTTGGTCACTCAGCATTTACCAGTAGACTACTGCAGCATTCTTACGTAAATTAGCAATAGCTTATGTAAGAATTTTGAAGTTAAAAGTCAATGTAAGTAATTTGCAATTATTTGGAAAATTCAAATAGTCATAATTCCAGTCATATAGTGAATAAAAGACATAGTAACAAAAGTGCCTTAAAACTGAAATCATTCATTTGCATTGTAAATTATTCAGAATTAAACCGGTAAAGTACATATACATATCAATTAATATTTTGAAAGAGATAGTTCTTCATCAAAAAGAGAACTCATAAAGTAATATCCTGCCACATTCTGTACTCACTATTCATTTCCGAGACGTTTCTATCTCACAGTGTGCTGTTTAAACGGCCTACACGGAGCATACACTCACATAACATGGATTCTTCCTGTGGGGATGGTTTGCGAAGACGATTTATAGCTTCATATCTGAAATACTTAGTAGAGTCTTACTTCCGAAGATTTTTATAAGCTGGGGGACATCTTTGGTTCCAACACTAAATTTTAATGCTGCAGATTACAACAGATTCTACATTTTTATGCTCATAATTAACGCTTGTTTTAGTCCGATCGACAAATAATTTAATGTAATAAGTTATTAACAGTTTCTTGTCTACCTTTCAGGTGTGACCTTGCACAGTTACAAATATTCGAAAGAAAAAATTATATCTTTTGTAATAACCCTTAGTGAAAATTCTCTTCGAATTTAGATTTACTTAGCTCCTGATTGTTTTATACCATAGTTTATGATTCGCAAATATAGACTAATCAGCCGAAACACAATTTATTTGTGACACTTCCAATTCTTTACTTCTGAAAACATTACAAATTTTAGCGTCTAAATCATTTCCTTTCTGTTTAAGGTTTTCCTGCCCGATATGCTCTAGCACTGTTGGGATTCATCGGAATATTCAATGTATACGCAATGCGCGTTAACCTTAGTGTGGCGTTGGTCGCCATGGTCCGAAAGCCTCATCTTCCATCGGAACTCGAGAGCGAAGGAACGGTTATTGCTTGTAGGGAGTTGGTGAAACCGTTCAGTTATACGAATACTTCTGCACAAGATCTCCCCCGGAAGGTAATACTCTTAAAAAACATTTTAGTCAGCTTTTTTTTAACAATAATTTGTAAAGTCAAATAGTTAAATATTTTACTGTTGTTAAGATGAAACAAAACAGATAGCATAAATAGAGAGTTCAAAGCAAAATATTGTAATATTAGGGCATCTGTGAAATTTTTGCTTTTTTTTTTTTTTTTTTTTTTTTTTTTTTTCAATACTTATTTTTTTTACATCAAGTGGAAGTGCATTCTTTAACATTAAATTTTGCTCAATTTATTATTACGTTTTAAGCATCATTATTATTAATGTTTAACAATGTTTAACAGTATTTTTATTGTGTACAATGATGTTTTTGATTAATTTTATGAGTTGGTTTATTTTGTTACCTTTACTGCTTATTGCCACGCAAAGTTTGAGTTATGTTGTAAAATAAAATAACTTATCCATCTTCTTTTAATCTTTATTCATTTAATTTTCTTTAATCTTTATTCATTTAATTTCCTTTAATCTTATCGCCAAATCTCCAAATGTGCATCATGATCTGTTTAAACATTATTAAAAAGATTGGATTTATCCTCTACTTTTAAATTTTCCATGCTATTCATAGTTCTCATGCGGTTCATATTGCAACGAGTTTCGCTCGTTAACTTATTTGATTCGTTATAGAGTCGGGGGCTTTCTAGTTGTAGCAAGATTTCGAAAGCTTCCATATTGTTGATTTCCATTCTTAAGGATTTTAATCTTATAACCGTTTAACACAGGATAAAGACTAGTATATTACACTCTTAGACAAAAAATAAATAAATAAATAAATAAATAAACGATGCACCAGGAAAGAGTTATCCCAATGAGACGAAAATCGGTAGAAGTGGTGTACATATACAGAAAAACAAATGATTACAGTTTGAGAAAAATTGGATGATTTATTGAAGTGATAGAGCTTCTCAAACTGAAAAAGTCAGTAACGCGTTTGTTTACCTCTGGCCCTTATGCAAGCAGTTATTCGGCTTGGCATTGATTGATAGAGGTTGCAGATGTCCTCCTGAGGGCTATCGTGCCAAACTCTGTCCAACTGGCGCGTTAGATCGTCAACATCCCGAGCTGGTTGGAGGGCCGCTCCAAACGTGCTCAATAGGAGAGAGATCTGGCCACCTTGCTGGCCAAGGTAATGTTCGGCAAGCACTAAGGCAAGCAGTAGAAAAATGTGCAATGTGGCATTATCTTGCTTAAATGTAAGCCCAGGGTGGCGTGACATGAAGGGCAACACAACGGGCCTTAGAACTCTGTCGACGTACCGCTGTGCTGTAAGGTTGCGACGGATGACAACCAAAGGGGTCCTACTATGAAATGAAATGGCACCCCAGACCATCACTTTTGGTTGTCGGCCTGTCTGCGGAAGACAGTCAGGTTGATATCACACCGCTGTCGTCTTCAGACTCGCCTTCGCTGGTCATCGGGGCTCATTTCAAAGCGGGACTCGTCACTGAAGACTATTCTACTCCAGTCAGTGACATTCCAACGCGAATGAGCCCGACACCACTGTAAACTGGCTTGACATTGTACAGAGGTCAATGGTAGTCGGCGCAAGGGGCGCCGTGACCACAGCTCCATTTCTGTGAGCCATCTATGAATGGTCCTTGTGGTCACTGAAGCACTAGCTGCACGTACAATCGATGATAATGATGCATCTGGGGCTGTGAGTGCCGCTCTGACGATTGCTCGGTCTTCACATTCTGTCGTTTCTCTACGACTACCGCTTCCGCTTCCTTCTTGACGCTGTGTGCGGCCATGGTTCACCCATTCCTGCCAACATCGTCTAATAGTGGCATCGCTCCTGCTCAAATGCCCAGCTATTCGCCGATAAGACAACCGGCTTCTTTGGGCCCACTACACGACCTCTCTCAAATTCTGATATCTGCGCATATCGTTCGCGCGGGCTGTATGCGAGGCATAGTTACTGTCTACCAGAGTACACGGAATGAAATTCATGAAGAATTTATGACCTGAAATCGTAATTTCTCCTCTTAAATATCAAGCCAGTTGCGCAGATCAGATGCGCTGTAGCGACAACCGTTCATTCATTGGCAGACAAACTGTAAAATTTGGCATTTTCCGTCGAAACTTTATGCATATCAACTTGTGTCCAATTTACTTTATATCTTATCGGTGCGTAGTAGTGCGTCGTCTATTTTTTTTTTTTTTTTTCTTTTCTTTTTTTCGTCTAAGAGTGTATGTAACAAAGCGTAGTTTTTCCGTCGATACCTTTATATAAGTCTTTTTTCTTCCATTTCGGCTCATATTCATATTTTCAAAAGCTATCTTTTTCACTTTTTTATTTATTGAAAAAAAAATCATAATGCAACATTAAAAGTTTTCTTCGAAGTGTATTTTATGTAAAATCTAATTTTTCTCTCTAAGCAGAAATCATCTAGGATAAAAACGAAAAATAAATGATGTGTGATAAAGAAGAGTAATTTTTAAATGCTAGAAAATTGTATCAGTAGAAAATTTTTAATTAAGTTATACCTTTTCCAACTATATTATTTCACTACTTAGCGTGATAATAAGTGCAAATGAAAATTGAATATTTTGGTATATGTAAAATAACGTAACTTCAAATTATACTTTAAATTAGATTTAAATTAATTTCTTTTAAATTTGAAAACGCGTTATATATGGAAATTAATTCTGTAACCTGCGCATACTGCTGACAACGTGTCGTTTAGCCTCTGCTAGCTATTCTTCATGATTTAAGAAGTAATGGCATTTCTAAAACTGTGGGGCCCGTTTAGCACCCCTAGTTTTCTACCAACTATGAAGATATGGGCTAAGAAATTCGTCATCTAAAAAAAATTATCTTTAACTATCAAGCTGTGTCGCGCTTCTCCCAAAATTTCAGCCAGGCCATTCCACTACGCCGCAGTTCCCGTTCATCTACGGAGCAGTTTTTTTCAGTCATGACTAAAAGTGAATTTTTTTTTTCTTCCGCCAAAATTGCAATATTACATTTCAATCTATCTATCTCTATATATAGTTAACATTATTTTCAAAAATAATGTTAATTTTTTCTTCTTTTTATTCTTATTTTACATTGTTGAATTTCTAAATACTATCTTAATACCCATACCTTAAATAAAAAATATTCTTCCATTAAAAGCCTGATATTTCTTAATAAATGTAACACCTTATAAGGTATTTCTCCCACCTTCCTAGCGTGCCTTCTTGGTGTAGTGGCTCTGCACGCTGGGCCGGTATTCAAGAGGTACGTGGTTCAACTCCCGGCGAAGACTTTTGCTCATTTTTCATCTTGCCTGCTTTAAAAAAATACCTAATGTCTCTACAATGGCGCCTGAACTAAAAAGGTTTTAAATAATGATTCTCCTCACCCAGGAGTTTGCGTTTGGGTCCCTTAAAAATCCCAGTCGCCTTTTAAGAGGGGGAGTGTATAAGGTATTTCTCCCGCCTTCCTAGTGTGCCTTCGTAGTGTAGTGGTTCTGCACGCTGAGCCGGTATTCCAGAGGTCTGTGGTTCGATTCCCGGCAAAGGCGTTTGCTCATTTTTGATCTTGCCTACTTTCAAAAAATACCTAATGTTTCTACAACCTTCTTAATTATGTCATAGTTGTAAATGACAAAATCTCTGTCTTTTATTATGCAATTACTAAAAAATGCCCTTCATTTGTAGACAAAAAGCATTACAGTCTGCATAGCAGGGTTTAAATTCAATTTATATATTCTTGAGAATTTTGCTGAGAGAAAATCGTCACATTGTTAGTATGAAATATGATGTTATTATTACACATAAACTATAAACCTTTATAACGCAAATTCCAGTCTTATTTAAGACGGACATTTTGCTATGAAATCTAACAAGGTTGAAATCTAGGAACTTGGAAGTATTCTAAAAGAGTAACAGCTCTTTACATATATTGTTCATAATGGTATTCGCCTTCAGATCACAGTATTATACTAAAAGTATAAAGCCAAAAAAGATGAAACTAAGTTGTTGGCTAATCGAGCACTTGGCAAAAGCTGTTGTTTCAAAATCTCATTCGAAACATGGATTTTATAAGTGCTTATCCTTTAATAAAATTTGGATGGTCTTCAATGAAAGAAATAAGTATGTCTTCTTCGCTTAAGTATGGCTTAAGTCTTCCACAGTGAATTTAGATTTGTCGCAGTTATACATATTACTATATCAAATAAAAATTTTGCAAATTTTTTTTTAATTTTTTTATTTATATTTTCTTACTTTCTTCTTTCAACTGCAGGGTGAATTTGACTGGGATTCTAATACTCAAGGTTTAATCTTAGGATCTTTCTTCTATGGATATGTTGCAACCCAGATACCAGGTGGTATTATAGCGGAAAAGTATGGTGCAAAGTGGTTGTTCGGGGTTGGAGTTCTCATCACTGCAGTTTTCACGTTATTGACACCTGTTGCCGCCCGGTTGAGCGTCTGGGCTCTAGTGGTCACTCGAATCATAGAAGGATTAGGAGAGGTGAGAAAAATCTGTTATTTGTTGAAATCAACACTTTATTACGTTGTATGAGAAAATTTCAAACATTATCGATTTCTTGAGAAATTTTCCTTCGATAATAAAATGGCTTATTGAAATGTATAAGCCCATATAATCCAACTTACATTTAATACACAAAATCTGTTTTAACATCCACAAAATTAATTTTGTAAACTGAGTATTCCAAAGTTAAACCTCGTTGTAGCTGCTGAATCATGATATACAGATTGTCTATCATAAAATAGTTATTCTGAAATAAATTTTGAATTATATGTATTATATATCGTACGGAAAACTGACTAAGAAAGTAACGAGTTATTCTAATTCCTTCAGGCTTAAAATCTCTTATATGCTTTGAGTTATGTTAAACACATTTATAGTTCCTTTTGTTAAGGATACTGAGTTTGCGAATTTATTTTACGGGTTAGTGAGGAATTTTAATTTCAATTTCAATTTTAATTAATTTTAATTTAGTAAAATAATTCGTCCTACAATTCATTAAAACGATAAATAATAAGTCTCAATATTTGTACTTCAGATATTCATACTGAATATTTTCAAAGACTTTTAAGCTTTGTAAAAACATTTTTTTTAAATTTAAATATATATCGTAGAACCCTTTAATCCTACTGCTTTCACAAATGATTTTATTGCTGTGCAAAGTTCCTTATATATTATTAAGTAGGTAATAGTCCTTATAATATAAAAAGATTTAAGAAATGAATGTATTAATGAAAAAAGAAAAATAATTTTTTACAGCAAATGATCATCATACATAGCTTTCATTTCACCTTTTCTTACATTCCTAAATGATATTGTACTGTCTTTGCGCATATCAGTATTCCATACATCAATAACTGGCAAATATCTAATTTCTCAGAATAACGAAAATAAGATACGAAAGTAAAAACCACAAATTTATAATAACATGGAATATTTCAAGTAGAAAATATAAAATCAAGTGCACTTACAATAGCAAACACTATGTAATTATTTTTACACATAGTGTTTGCTATTGTAATTGCATTCGATAAGTAATTTTTGCATTATCATTTTAATAACGCAAAGTTATTATCGAATGCACGTTTACGATTTTCGCGACTCGACTTAAAGGTCGTCAAACTATTTATATTTATCGTCAGTCGGAAAGCATTATCAACATATCAAAACGAAAAAAATGAGAAATAAGAAGTTGCGGTTATAAATTTTATTCAATATTTTCAGTCGTTTGGTACACCTTTATAATGAATTTCTGAGAGCTAACTCGTTGTGTTAAATGTTAACAATAGCACACAACACACAATAAAGTAGATTTGTAATCACGCAGTAACATTATAAATTTAACATTTCAATTCAGCTAAAATAAAATTAAATTTTCTTCAAATATGAAACTATAGCATAACTTGTTTCTAGAAAGAGGCCGTCAATATTACGTCATAAAAAGTCTTGTCTAAGCCTAAGACGAGTAAACAACGTCTTGATTTGTGCAGCGTATTCTAGGATTGAGCTGAGTTATACTACTAGAGATACTTTATCACATACATATATGTGCTCAAATATAATTTTGCTTTTTGACTATTTCCGCCATATCATCTTCTAATTTAATACTGAAGGCGTAAATTTTTGTTGTTTGAACGTTGATAACGTTGATTTTTGTCATTCTGAATTAGTAAATCCATAATGATTTGAGTCTTTTCATCATAATTTATTTTATAACAAAGTAATAAAAACGATCCTAAAGCGTGCTTAATCTAACAATTGATAAAATGTTAGTCGCTTTATACAATTAGCCAAATAATGACCCTGTTTAACTAAAAGTATTCACTTACAACTTTTACCGAAGAATTCAGAAATATATGTTGCAAATAAATTCAGACTTTGTCAGATTTTGATCCATAACTAACTTCCTTAAGGACATTTCACCCTAAAGATAAAATTAAAGAATTTTAGTGCATTCATGGCTGGAAAAGTCACACCCTGTATATAAAATACAATAAAGAGATATATGTAAAATCATACCCTATATATTATATAAGGATAAACTGTTACATTTTGGGAAAAGTAATTGAGAAGATGAAAGGTAATCGTAAAAAATGTTGACAGTCACTGTCGCCTTTATTGTAAGTAAATTGAATTAATTCCAATTATGAGCTCAGAAACTAAGCGTGGCATAACTACGTAAAACTTAACAATGATAAATATTGTAGTTGCCGTAAGAATATGTATGCAATATATTCCTTCATTTTTTTTCCAATTCTGAAGCATTCGAAATTTATTATATGCGGCACTGGCACTTACTCGAATCAAGTTTGGGTATCTACGTACCATTGAAATCCATTTATTATAAGTAGTTAGTAGTATAATTAAAGCCATCCATAAAAAATAACTTTTTGTGAAAAATTTTAAAAAATTAAAAAATTATTTTTAATTAAATCTTCGCAACAAAATACACTGTAAGGTTTACTGTTGATAAACGTATCACATAAACTGTAAAAATAAACTTTATTTATGCATATTAGATAGCTTTCTAAAGAGTAAAAACTAACAAGAATTCAGAATGAAAAGTTCAGTAATTATTTTAAAGCTATTTTATTCTTGACGTATTAATTTTAAAATATTCAATAATAATTTTCAAAATTGCATTGTTTTGTCTTAAGTGGATCATGTGATAGTCTCTCTCTCTTGAATTTTTAACGTAGACCATTATATTACACTAGAAAGCCCGGCGATCATACGAAATGACCGTTGTTCTAGGTATTATAAATTGTAATTAAAATGATTTGTGCAAAGGTGTCTGCTTATTCAAACTGAATTACCCACAGCAGCTGGCGAGGACGCCTCTTTGCTTACTGCCACACGAGGTTTCACCCTTCTACTTGCTTAATTGCTTAAAGTGCAATGAAGGAAACCATTGGCGGTACATTTCTTAAGAGCCCACCGCTAGCTCAATAAATAAAGGGGATTTAAATAATAAAATGTTAATTCACATGTCAAAGATCTCTTTGTACACATAATCTCTTGTGTAGATCTTTCCATCATTTTTAAGCTTGCCTTGCAGAGGACCATCAATTATTTTTAATTTTACGTCCGTTCTTTCACGAACTCTTGAACGGGCAATATAAAGCTGAACGTGTCAAAATGCAGGCTCAGGTAAAAAAATGCCAACACGCTTAAGCGTTTGGCCCTGAGACTTATGGATGGTCATAGCAAAGGCAAGTTTTACAGGAAATTGTCTACATCTCAATTGAAACGGCAACCCTGTGCCGTGGCAACTTCACCCCATCGGCTAATACAGTTATGAAAGCAACCAAGACTATCGGCGACAAACAGACACTGAAACCGCATATAATAAAGATATTTATTTATTTCATTTTATTTGTTTTTTCATCGTTTCCGGTTTTTGCCGGTTGCATATTTCCGAATTCTATTATATATAGATGTTAAATTTATTTATTAAATGTTAAATGCACGTGCTCTTGTATTTTTAATTTTTCCGGCTTAGCTTTCTCATAATAGTCGTCACGCGCTGCACTGCACGGGGAATAAAACAATTTACAGTTACGCAAGCAACCAATAAACTATCGGCGACAAACACTAAGCCGCATATATATAAGATGATGAAAGAAACCTAGTGAAACATATTCATCTAACGAAAAGGAAAATCTGAAATATATTCTTCCCTTTTCGTAACGTTTCACACATACCAGTTATCAGGTTATTCCGAGGTCTCATTAACTTACATTCTACCTTTTTAAAGAATATATTTTTATTTCAACAATCAGTTATATATCACCTATCATCTGTTGTATTTTATATATAGGAAATGATTTTATATATATCTCTTTATTGTATTTACTTAAATCCATTTAGTGCGAATACAAATAAATTTCTTCACCCAAGTCTTACCGACTGATATAATTCAAAGCCCCTACTGCCGCTAAGAATTTTCGGACACCCTACACTTCTGAGTCAGACACGAAGAGAACACATTGCCAACTCCCCCACTAGAAAGAATGTAAGTTACTTAATACCTTTCTGGCCTTTATATCTTCATGTACATTCACTGATCTTATTTATATTATTTTCTATTTTATTTTTATATTATTTTTATATTATTTTTTTATGTTCTCTTTGATTTGTTTTTACAAAGTTTGCATTATTTATCTTTTTTTATAATCTTCTATGTTTATTTCAACTTTACTTTGATTACGATTTCATAATGACAATTTCCAATGTTTAATTTCTACAAATAATACAGTACTCAAATACATAAAGATGTATATCGGGGACGATTACTCGAGTTTTACAGGATTTCTCTACAGTAATTGATCTTTACTCCAAATTGAATTGACTAAAATGCTTCATGAGAATAAGTTCTTTGAGTAACAACTATTCGCGGAAATATTTGGCCTGACTAGAATTGCCGGTTTGGCTTTAACTTATAACTCGAGTAAAGACGAAACACTTTCATATTGACGTATTTTTATCAATTATTGATCATTGAACGGGAGTTGGTTTGTTCCCCTTGAAAAGTCAACTAATTTCCGATCAATGACAATAATTACATGTTTTAATTTTTACTTTTACAATTGAAATATTATTCTTCGTGATGATTTAACTCTCCAGTCCCCGTTAAAACATTATTAACATTTTGCTTTCAAATTACTTCAAAAATCTTTCAAAATATAACTTACCAGTATGGATTGCACACTTTTAAAATAATTCTACTTTAATTAAACTTAGGAGATAATATAATCAATTAATCAATACTGTTTAGGAAATAAATTATCTTTATTGTATTTTATATATAGGAAATGATTTTATATATATCTCTTTATTGTATTTTATATATAGGGTGTGACTTTTCCAGCCATGAATGCACTAATAGGTCGATGGGTGCCAAAACTGGAAAGAAGTAGAATTGCTACTCTCATCTATAGTGGGAGTCCTCTTGGTACCGTTGTTGCGCTTTCTGTTTCTGGAATTTTGAGTGCTTCCGATTTCCTTGGTGGATGGCCTTCCGTTTTTTATGTTTTCGGTACGTCACCATTTTTTTATTTATTTATTTATTTATTTATTTATTTAAAATTTACTTGTGTGCATGTAGAAAGGAAACTTCCTGATGTAACAATCAGAATATTTTGGTTAATTTATGAAACGCGCTTAAGCTTGTTTCTTTTTTAATGCATTCTATTAGAATGTGCAAATCTTCATTAGAAATACAGTTAAAATGGAGCATAAAAGTTAAGTTTCGCCTATAGTTGTCACCTATAGTAAAGAAACAAATACAGATATTGAATGTAGTTTAGTAGAATAAAGTGATGTACTAAATGAAAATCAGGAAGCTAACATTAGTTTTTAATAGTAAGTTAAGCAGTGTTTTATAACTCGTGTACTATAAGCATTTCTTTTTTTTTCCAATCTAAAATCTACTACCTTATATTAGTCTACAACCTGTAATATTGGAAGCAAATTACTTGGGAAAGTAAATTACATTACGTGTGTCTGTGATTATGGCAAAGCCTCGAGGGCTATCTGCCTAAGGGGAGGGATGCCTTCGTGGAGGACTTTCTAAGGGAAACTGGCTCGTCCTATGGAAAGTATTTTACAGTTCGGATATTGATAAAATGTGACGTTTGACAAATAAAACTTATAACAAGGATGCAAATATTTTTATATCTGTTTCATATATTGTTGTTCGCTATTTTATGAAACAAATTAAAACTCAAAATTTTATCTATTTACTATTTGAGTTATTAAGTTATTACATACCACAATATGTAGCCCAAATTTGGAACTTTTCAAAATTGAAAATGCATATCCGGCATGTGTTGTAACTATTTGTTGTTTTTCCTGTCATAATTTTTAGAATAATGTTAAATACTGAGCAGTTTTATTGTGAGATTATCCTTTCCTTCTATTCTGCGATGTTTAGAACGGCGGTGTTTGGGCTCCTTTTCTGCAGTTTAGTTAGTCGAATGATAAGAAGATCTCTAAACTGCAATAATTGAGGTTCCTAGTGTGCGCTCTGCCCTTAGGGATCATCTTCCAATTCGCTTGGATTAGCTGTTCCAGTGAAACAAAATAAATAAAAATTTATGAAATTATAGAGTTGGAAACAAAAAACTGAATTAAAATGAAAAACAAACTAAACTGCGTGCTAAACGGAAATTTGCCTAGTTTCACATCTCCTTTAGCACACAACACGTCGCTTACTAGACGAGGCGAAATTTGATTGTTTTAACACGAAATATATGGAAAAAAAATGCTTTGGATCCCATAACAAGTTTCTCTTCCTCACGCCTTAAATAGCAGAAATGGCCCAGTTGTGCGACTGTTACGCAATAAGTTTTAAGTCAAAGCTTTCGCAGTATCGTATATGATTTCATTCATAATTTTTATTTTGACAACTTCTCATTGTCAAGTACGGGATGCATGTTTTAATATGTTTAGCATTTTATAAAGAGTAATAAAACGTTTGAATTGCTGTGCTAAAATTTACAGTTTTAAAACGTTCTTCATAAATAGTGAAAGCAAAGAAAAGCGAAATATTTGTAGCTTAGTTTTCGGTTAAGGTCAAGCACTTTTCCCCGCACGTTGATAATGAATATTTAACGCAGAAACAGGACATTTTAATTTTTTCATCAGATTGTTGAACATTGTATTATTATTCAGAATTAGCCAAGAAAAATGAAAAAACATTCTTTAATTACGAAATGTTGATTCTGTGGGTCCTCAGGATACAGTTCTTACAAGAACGTATTTCATGGAACTGAAGCCATACATTCAACTATCTTTATAATACCTAGTGTACATTTTCATTTAATCTCTGACCCTGGTAGCAGAGATTTTAAAATAATTTGATATGAGTGTCTGTAGTCCTTAAATAATAGTTCTGTGAAATTTCTATGAAACGAAAAATTCCAACAGGAAAAAAAATCAAACATCTACGAACAACACATTACATTATGGCAAATTAGTTTCATTCAGTCATAATTGAATTTTTTAGTGATTGACGGTAACAAATGTAACTTATCACTGATACTTTATCTGTACAATAATGCTGTACTTGCGCTGAAAAAAATAAAATTATTCTATTGATAGAAGGATAAACAGAAAATTAAAGATCAGAAGCTGAACATTTGGAGCATCAATATTACATGGATGTATGCATTTTTCCAAATGCATGTTAACACACTGTTGCTGCCTTCCTCAACTATATACTTTTGTGAAACCGGATTCTTTGTGAATTTTTTTGTGGAAAAAGAGCAAATCTGAGGATCTGATAAAATGTTTGTTAAGCAAAAACAAAAGAAAAAATCAAAAGATATTTTTTAAGAAATTGGATTAATAGGTATAAGTTATTTCTCCCGCCTTCCTAGCGTGCCTTCGTGCGGTGCAGTGGTTCTGCATGCTGGGCCGGTATTCCAGAGGTCCGTGGTTCGATTCCCGGCCGAAGGCGTTGCTAATATTTCATCTTGCCTGCTTCAAAAAAAGTACCTAATGTCTCTATAGTAGCGCCCGAACTAAAATGGTATTAGATGATGATTCTCCTCACCCAGGATTTGGCGATTGGGTCCCCAAAAACCCCAGTCGTCCTTCAAAAGGTGGTATAAAAGATATTTCTCCTGCCTTCCTAGCGTGCCTTCGTAGTGTTGGTTCTGCATGCTGGGCCGGTATTCCAGAGGTCTGTGGTTCGATTCCCGGGGAAGGCGTTGCTAATTTTTCATCTTGCCTACTTCCAAAAAAATGCCTAATGTCTATACAAGGGAACAGACCTAGTATTGAATTTGGTGGCTCAAATGATTGAAGCGTGTCAAGAACTGCCCCCTTCTTCCTAAAACGGAATGTTAACTTGGTTTTAAAAAATGTACATAATTTCAATATTTATATCAAGCGGTCGCAAAATTAGCATCGACAAATTAAGAAAATACGCTGACAGTATTTTGTGCTTTATTTATTTTGTGTTCTACTCACATCATTCGCATTTGTCAAATATTATCCTTATTTGACAAATTATTCAATGAATCAGCGATGTAACTGATAACGTGAAAGAGACACTTTTCAGATGCATCACTGGTACCAAATTAGCATTGCAAATGGATGAATCTATTGACCGCGCCGGGTGACGGTAGTTTTAAGGCTCCTTTATGCTCACTTACAATAATATCAAAAAAGGTTTCTTATTTGGTGATAATTACCAACCAGTACGCATATCGAGAAAATAAAAAGTTAAATCTTCGGGATAAATGCTTATTAAAGAAATGTAGCAGTATTCATTGCATTCTTCATAGACACGCACTCGAGTAAAATACATTCTAAGCTTATATCATAGTATTCTGTGCATTCTTTACTCCCATGAGGACAACAGCTCTGCTATTATGCTTAAGCTGTTATTACGTAAAAATCTACTATATATGCACCACGGCCAAGGCCCGAGAGGGCTGGACAAACGACATAATTTAAAAACAAATGTTGTTGAGTTACATGGCCGTAGAAGGCCCTTGAAGGAAATACTACATTGCAATTCTGTGTTGCCATAAATAAGTAAGCATGCTTAGTATATCATAAGCTTAAAAGCTTCACTGCATAAATTACAGGATTATTTACATCAATTTCATAGGACCACATACTGTGCCAGATATTATAGGAACTTTTAATAGAATATATGCTTGTAATAAAATAATAATTCACAGAAATAGTTACATACTATTTATAAAATAATGGTTTAGGCGACGTGAAGATATTATACGCGCTGCAGATTAAACGTTATATGAGATTGAGCAATGCACCTTGCAATAGACAGTCCGTCCTGAATTAGGAGTAATATGTTGTGCGAAAGATCTACATATTACAGTTAATTTGTGAAAATAAAATATTTGACCTTAACTTAGTATAAAGTAGCTTATTTTAACAAAACTTCACAAATACCCTTTGTTACGTTGAAGAAAAATTAGCTTCAAAATTCATTTAATTCGTTTGTTTCATTAATTACGTTTTTCATTTATTAAACTTCATATGTGTCGTCACAATAAATGTAGAGTATAGGCGCATTTTAAAAAAATGTACTGTTGAAATCTTGTTTTTAATTAAACATCTCAAATCTTGTTTTGATTAAAACCGTTAAATAATTAATAAATTTTATTCTCAGTACTATGCTTCTATGAAGGATTCGAAAGGTTTGAGGTTTGAAAATCTTCTAGGATCTGAGTACGAGAAAATTTAGGCAAAGTATCCCTTCTATAAATAAAGAAGAATTGTTGAATGCATCTATGTTTATTATTTAAGAAATAAAATTTGAAGTTTAGTTTTTACTTTGTTCGACTAGGCTTAGTGGGAATAGTTTGGTTCTTCTTCTGGATAACTCTCGTTTTTGAGTCACCTGACGAACATCCTCGAATTTCCAAAGAAGAGCTCAATTATATACACCAAGGCCAAGACAAAATGTCTCGGGTAAGTGAAGATTTCTCAAATTCTCTTCTCTCATAATAGGATTCAGTTCGAAAACCTTCTCTTAATAACAAGTGTCTACAACTAGTAAGAAAAAAAGTCTTTATTGTTATTTTTCTTATTAGTATTAGTATTATTTTTATTTTTATTTTTATTTTTATTCTTATTATTATTATAGTCAAAATGTAGCTCATGATATTCGATGATTATGTTTTCAGTTTTCTGTTTATGCTATAATCTTTTAATTTTGTAGTAAGTGCTGAATATGTGTGACAACAAATTTATAAACCTGATCCAAGAAATTACGAAATGTCAGTCCCTTTAGTCGATTACACAAAAAAATGTTTAAAATTTTTTATAGTTTTAGTATAATATTTTTTAAAATCTGTTAATAGCATATTTAATCATTTTGAAGAAAGTTAGCACTGAATATAATGCATCCTAATATTTAAAGGTTTTTTAACTGTCGGAATAACTGCCTCGAATTTTAATGAATTTGTTTGTTTCAGCCTCAGATCCTGAGCTCATATTTAAGTTTCATATATACGGTACCAAAAATTTGTATCTGTGGATTATATAACTAAATATTAAGTGTTCTTTGTTTACCTAACTTAATAAAAGAAGAATAAGTTCCTTCAAAGTTTTACCGGAATGATGTTGGCAAGTATAGCGGGGCTCAACCAACAATCATGGTAAATGAACGCTAAGTTTCGTGGTCGACGGGAAAATGCGTTAAGTACCGTTACTTTTAACAGCATACCCAAAATTTTGTACAAAAAAGGAAGGAGCTTTCCTTTTACTTTTCAAATTATAAAACGTCGGCGTATTTATATGATCTTTGTCTACTATAAATTTCTTTCTGTATCATTAATAGACAGTTTGCCTGTTAAATAATGAATATTTTATTTTCAGTGTATTTTAGGTTAATTTCAAACTGACCTCATTATTTGCAACTTTCAGAATACTACTATTCCTTGGAAATCAATACTAACATCAGTACCAGTATGGGCTCTCGTTCTTACTCATTTTGGACAAAATTGGGGATTTTATACCTTGCTTACTGAAATGCCCACTTATCTTTCCAATATTCTCCATTTTGACTTGAAAAAGGTAATTTCATTATGCAAACATTTTTGTGTATTTATGACCTAAGGTATGAGTACTTACGTATTATGCCGTCAAGCGTTAGCGGAAATTTAGGCAACGGTTGCTAATCGTTACTGTAGAATTCTAAAGTAAGTGGGGCCAACCAGCGGCCGAGCGGTAAAGTCGCTGAACACTGGTAGTTCGGTCCGAGGTTCGAATCCCGCGAACGGGCTGGCTGCATGGGCGTTTTCGTGGTTTTCCCCATGTGTAACGTGTATACGAGCCAGTTTCCCTTAGAAAGTCCTCCACGAAGGCATCCCTCCCCTTAGGCAGATAGCCCTCGAGGCTTTGCCATAATCACACACACACTAAAGTAAGTGGTTATCCATTATTGGTGCTAAATCGCGCTACTTGGCCGGATAACAGGATAATACGCAAGAACAAAAGTAAGTTTGAGAGATATAAGCTGAATTATATACCATTTTTAATTTAAATAATCGAGAAATTTCAAGCTTTGCATGGCAATAATTTCAGCTAAAAGAATTTTGTGCAAATCATCTTTTCACTCCACCTACCTACAATAGCATAAGGCAGCTGTGTTGTCAAAGTGGATGAGCGAAACAAACTTTTTATTTTTTTAATTAGGTATTATTTGCTAAAATCTAATAAAACAATGCGATAAAATTGGGCACATTGACAAAGGCGGAACTATGGTCGAAGAACAAGTTTTGGAAAAAGGAGAAAATTTCCTAAACATTTCTTTTCTCCTTCAGAAAATTCACTTATACACTGTTGTCCACCGTAAATGCAATACCCTTAAGGAAGCATGCAAATAACATGAAATTTACAACATGCATTAGCGGAGGTGAGATATGCAAATGATTAGAATTTCAGCGCAGACGCACATTACGCGCGCCTGTGGCGCCACTTAAAATCGCTATTTAAGGCTTGGAGTTTTCGATGATTTCAAGTTAGGCAATTTTTTTTTTGTGTTTTTCTTGTGTTTTTTCCAAAAAAAACGATCAATTATGCCTGGTAGTAAACAGCGATCATCGTTTGATCAAGTATCCGAGTTTCGACAGAGAAAAGGATAGGTGGCCTACCGAGAGTGTGGATTATTTTTCAAGGAAATCGATAGTCGTGTTGGACGAAACCAGACAACTGTAATGCGAATATGTGACCGTTGGATGCAGGAGGATACGACGGACCGACGTGTTCGATCGCATCTACCTCAGTGCACCACTTCACGTGATGACAAGAAGATTGTGCGCATGGCAGTGACGGATCGCTCAGTCACATCACGAACCACAGCACATCCCATTCAGTCTGTAATGCATTATCCAGTGTCTGCGCGTACCTTGCGACGCCGTTTACAGCAGAGTGGTCTGTCCGCAAGACGTCCATTGCTTCGTCTACTCTTGACGCAGAACCGCAGACGTCTCCGCCGCTAATGGTGCGATGAAAGAAGGATGTGAACTGTAGAATGGAATGAAATTGTCTTTACTGACGAGTCACGAGTCTACAACATCACGATGGTCGGATTTGAGTCTGGAGACTCCGTGGATGCTGAACAGTTGCAATATGCACCGCCACACTGGGCCTGCACCGGGTATTATGGTATGGGACGGTATTGGATATCACTTTCGCACTCCTCTAGTACCGGTACTTTAAACAGCCAGAGCTACATCTCCGAAGTGTTGGAGCCAGTTGTCCTTTTTTACCTTCAGGGCTTGCCCACAGCCATATTTCAACAGGATAATGCGACCACACGTGGCACGCATTGTCCAAGAGTTCTTTGTCAATCGCCAGATTGAATTGCTTCCCTGGCCGGCTCGCTCCCCGGATCTTTCGCCGATAGAAAACATGTGGTCCATGGTTGCTGAACGATTGACCCAGATTACATCCCAAGCTACTACACCAGATCAATCTTTGGCAACTTGTGGAAGCTGCTTGGTCTGTTGTACCCCGAGAACATATCCAAAGTCTCTTTGAATCAATGCCGAGGCGTGTGGCAGCGGTGATTTCAACAATGGCGGCTACTCTGGCTACTGATTATGGAAGGAACTATAAATTTAATAATCTGATACTTGGTGAACATGTTATCTACTAAATAAATTTTGTTGTGATATCTCTTGTCTTTCCTGGTGTTGCAATTATGGTGGCCAGCAGTGTATTTACAATTGCATTTTTTCAACAAATGCTGTCATATTTAAATCAATAAACACAGCAATGCTCTTGTATAATTGAAACATAAACCTTACTGTTGAAACACATAGCTTAAAAAAAAATTTCGATTGCACTGAAAATTACGATATAGAAAGCTTTGGAAACCGCTATGTTCAATTATGTGTGCTGATCCATTTTGCTTTTAACTTAAGTTTTGATTTTTTTGTTCCTGCAGAGATAATCTAGAACCACACCGCAACGTTTTTCTTGATGTATTTCGTAGCTCAGAATAAATGTTTTGACAACACCGGTGCAAAGAATAATTCTCCCGTCAGGTAATACTGAGGTTAAATTTCGATTAGCCATTAATTCCCATAAAGTCGAAGTCTTATTCACCTGCTTTCTTGTAAACTCAAAACTTTCCACTTCTTTAATTAACAAAATATTTCTTCCTTGCGATACTATATTCTTTGCCTTGATAAAATTCTGTATCGTTCTAGTCAAGATGTGTGCTTTTTCAAATATTTTTCAGAAAGCCTTTCTGTACGAACAATCTAATTTCTGAAATCTTCTAGAATATTTTCTATTTGAGAAACATTTCAGTTCATTTTATCATTTTATAATACAAGAAACAACACACATTCCTTTCCAAACCGTTTTCTTATTTTTCGATCGATAAACCACAGTTTCATAACTAGCTGACTAACTTGCGTATTATTTCAGGAATTTTAAATATTGATTTTAAACGCATAAATTCTTACTGATACAGTTCTAAAAATTTCCTTGCATAATTTCTTCTTTGCAACATTTTTTAGTCCAAAAGCGGCTATTAGTCTCAGAACAGTATTTTGAGGTGTATGGCTATAAATGTCTGTTGATTTTAGATGGCTGATTCACTTTTCGAATTGTTGCCGCCAATATTTCCCCGTATTATTTTACCTGGAAGCCCGAAGTTTGAATGTCGAATTTGTTTTGTTATTTATTTCATATTTTGTAAAACTTTGATCAACTTTTGAATAACCATTCAACAATATGAAAGCGAGTAGGGACAACACTGTTCGAAATAAAAAAAAAATTTTATCTCCAGCGCCTCCCTCGCGAGATTGTTATCGTTTGGAAAAATATAAGATATTTATCCCTCAATTTTAATCAACATGATCGGTTTTATGAAAGCAATGTGTTACTGCAGTCGGACATAAAATATTATTTTCCACGCAGCAGCGCGTTGCCATTCTTAAGATAATTTCAAATTTAATCTGGAAGGTTATTGAGTAATACATTGAGCAATTAAAAAGCAATAAACACAGTTCTTAAGAAATTTTTTCTGCTTTTTAATGTAAAAATACAATAATAAAAATTATGTAATACAAAAAAAATCTGAAAGGTTTCAGATTTTAAATTTCTTCCAAAGGGGAGTTTTTTTGACTTTTTGTGTATTACCTTTATTTATTAAATATTATGTTCTTTGCACTTAAACCATAAAATTCAGTTCAACAGCAATGTCGCAAAATAATTTTAAAATCAGCGTATCTTTAGAATTTCCTATACACAGTTCCGCTCGCTAAAGATATAAATCCCCCTCCCTTAGAGTGTAGCCATTGCACGCTTTTAAATCGTTGAATTTGTTAATCAAAAATCCGTTAAACATATGAAAAATAAAACAAATTTCAAATTTGGACTTTCAGATGCCCATATTAGCAGTAGGATTACGTCATTCAAAAGTGGATGGCTCTAGGTACCGCTGTTTTATCACAGTGCGAGAAACACATACATTTATGCAAATTCTTCATTATTTAATTTCTTCAAATATAATACAGGGCTATAGTATGTGGTGGCAACGATCTGAAAAGTGATACGCCGTTTATAGGGTTCCGACGCAAAATCGCAAAACGGAAACAGTAGTCCTTCAGGGACAAAGCCCCTTTTGAACTAATAAAGATATATTAAAACCATGAGATGTCTTATTAGAAATATTCAACACTTTTGCGAAATTGCACTAGAAATTACACTGAAATTGTTATTAACATTTTCTTGAGATAACTATTTCGGGCTGCTGGCAGCACGAGTGACTGCTTTAAAAAAAAAAAGAATATAACGGATATAAAAATATGAATGGCAACCTCTTAACTCTCTATCGGGAATTCTAAAGATACGCTGTTTTAAAATATTTTGTGACGTTGTTCATCTAAATTTTATGTGGCATAAGTGTGAAGAACGCGATATTTAATAAACAAAATTAGCACACAAAAAATTAACAATAAAAAGATTAAAAAAACTTGTAAGCAATCTTTCTAAGAAAACTGAACATTGATAAGATGAACCGAGAAAACACTGAAAAAATATAAAAATCTGTGTTACTGCAACAGGAATTCGAAAATATTCTGCTTTTAACATTTTTCTCTTGAATTTTATGTGGCGTAAGTGCGAAAACTATGCTTAATAATAAAACTAAACATACGAAAAAAAATGGGTTAGTAGAAGGAAATGCAACTGTAGACTGGCAGACTACGAGCTCAGTGAGAGCGCGAAAAACCTTAACAAATCCTTTTGGGTGACCGTTAAAATCTGCAACCTTTCAGATTTTTTAAAACTTTATTTATTTTTTTTTCTCTTTTTTTTGGTAGCTATGGAGTAGTTAAATTGCTTGTAGAAATCATGCGCATATAACATATATGGTAAAGTTTTTTGGCCTGCTTCCTATCATAAGTAAACAAAAAAGAAATTATACACGTAATAGCTTATATAAGTTACCTACGTAATTACTTAGGTAAAACTACTCATGCATTAAAGTAAATGTAGTATTAATAAAAATGTTAAAATCTTGCACTTGAAGTAATCTACACATAACAATATTAAATAATAATGCTTTATGAATGCAGTTTAACAAAGCATTCTTAAATTCCTCCAAGCTGCGCATAATACGTAGTATGTATTAAAAGAACTCATCACTTGCGTATATTGGATAGCATTTCTAGTGCAGACTTAAATGATAACTTGCATTTCTTTTGAACTAACGAACGAACCTATATAATAGTTAGAATAATATAGTTGAAGAGACTGGCTGACGTCATATGAGAAAATATTAGTAAAAATGTATAACTACAGTAACAGTGTCATCAAGTAAATACTTGAATAGATACAATCAATTTTGCAAAGAATTTAGATAAGTTCTTTACAAAAATATAAGCAAATTAAAGATTTTACTATTGTACGGAGACTTTTACTTACCTACTGTATGTATTTTATCTTCACTGAAGATCACTTTAATGTTTAGATATCTTCATAAGCTGCGAGAAAGTGTTCTGAAATGAACATATCCATTTCACCAAAGCTGTGAAAAGCTATCCGCCCAATCGCATTTGTGATTTTGCATTACGTATGTTAAATTTTAACATTTACTACATTTAACGATACGGAATCTGTGCACCATCATTTATTTAGAAAACAGATAAGAATTTTTTTTTTTTTTTTTTTTTTTTTTTTTTTTTTTTTTTTACAAAAATGGTAATTTTTTGACACATTAAAAAATGCTTTAAATGCAATTAATTCATTCATGAATTTTTTAAAGCTTAGTGTTTTTTTATTAATTTTTTTAGAATGGAACTCTTTCTGCTCTTCCTTATCTTATGCAAGCAGTTTGTGCAATGCTAGCCAGCATATCAGCAGATAAACTTCGTGCCACCAATCGCTTTACTATCACTACGATAAGGAAAATAATTAATTCTATTGGTAAGTATTTTATCAAATGTAAAATTTTTAAAGATAAAGTGCAGATAAGATCACAAATTACATAAATGTAGATTGAACACGATCTGAAAATTGCATGAGATTCCTTTCTGCCTTGAGAATTGTTGTTATTGAATTTTCACTAGATTCATTCTTTTTGAATTCATGATTCACGCTTGAAAGAAAGCTCCAATGATGCTATAAAGCTGATCTTTGGTAAAGCTTTTAAATGGTGTAGTCAGTGTAATCACTGGGGAAAAGATTAGGCTATTTTAACACTGAAAAGCATCGAAGGCGTCTATCTAAAGAAAGGGACGCCTTCGTGGAATTTTTTCTAAGGTAAATTGACTCATATTCCCGTTAGACATGGTCAAAACTGAGAAAATCAACTATAAAGCGAGCCCTTTTGCCTGGAATGAAAGTCGGGTAGATTCAGCGCTCTCAAACACTTAGTAGAGTAGTAAAAGTTAAAAAGTAGTACAGAATTACGATAATAGCAAGAGTATCACTGGAACTTCCCATGCAAAGCTAAGAAATTAGATACTTTCCCTTCTATGCCTGCCTAAAATCAAAAACTTCTAAAGAAAAATCGAACAAAAATATACATTTAAAATAGTCAGTACTGGGCGGCAAAAGTTATTTTATAATCGTACGCAATCTCTTTAATTTAACTGGGAGTTAACTCTGCCAAGATTATTCTGAAACGGCTATAGCTGGATTAATAAACACGTTTCAGAAGTTGCAATATTTGAAGAATTTGTAATCAGTTTTCTACCAAAGCTTTAAAAATTTGAAAACTTGATATCTTTAATTTTATATCGTAATTAACAAGTTGTAAAGGGTTACATTTATCAATTAAACTAAATTGTAAGTAAATACAAACTACAATAAAAATAGTACAAGCAGTAGTAGGGGTAATTAAGGCAATAAATATAAAGAAAGACAACATCAAAGTGACTGAGTATTTACTGTAATTTTCAGGAACATTCAGCGGAGCCTGAGATTCGGGTAAGCACTTTTTGTTGTTCTCTGCATTTATTACTTAAAACAGTTCATTCACATAGAAATCAATCCAATAATGCTTGGGAAAGGAAGTCTAATTTTTTACACAGACAGAATTCATGCTTTACAGTACTGAAAATCAAAAATCCTACTTATGTTATGGATAAAATACTTTGAAAAATATATTTCCAAGAATATTAAAATATGGTTTCTCCTTTTCACGAAAGTTATTAACATTGAATAAATAATCAGCACTGCTTCGTGCAAAAATAACACATTCAATTACGCGAAAAAAAATCTTTTTTGAAAATACTGAGTTACTTTTTATCAATTACGCAAACTATAAAATCGTGTTTCATTGGTCAACTCTTACGCTATCAATGACCATCTACATGTTTTTTCTGTAGTATGTAATATAAAGGTTGGCAATTGGTTAGTAGTTCTGAAGACTTTATTAGCGTACAAACACCTTCAGTCCTCAATATAATTTTCTGCCATGTCTAGCCCTTTCTGCCAAATTACTGTATAGCATCGTAAACCATCACCACGTCCGCTCCTGCTAATACTCGGCAACTAGCTCTTTGGGCGGATAATCTTCTCTCTACTGTTTTAATGGTTCCGTAGCAGTGATTCTTTCAATTTGGCGAAAGGCTCATAGTCACACACGGGCTAAAATCGGGAAAACATGGTGGGTGTTCTAGTGCTTCCCAACGCCAACGTCGCAGGTTATCCTTGAGAGCGCTCTCATTATGACACCGCCCGTTACCATTGAAGATGATGTGATTCGACATAATATTCGACATGAACTTCTTGACTCAGTGGCGACGGTAATTACTGGAACACTGGCCTACTGGCCCAATGTGAGTCCATATGACTATGATCTCTTCACCAAAATAAAAGAATCTCGGAGAGTGATTCATTACAAAAACAAAGAGAAGTTTTTCCGTGCTTTAAAGCGTCCGTTAGGGGACCTGTGGACATACGTTCTGATGGTGTACGACGCCTTCCAGTCGGGTGAGGTCGAGTTTTCCTACAAATTAACGGTATTCCTATGGGTACCAACTATTCAACTGCCATCTACAACATATTACTCTTAAGGAATATAGTTTTATTAACAGTTACCATAAACATGAACTTTTTAATTTACCTACAGATATATCATTTCCATTAATTATTACAAAGGAACTGAAAAATAATGTGTATCCTACATAGCGTATTCGGAAACTAAGTACCGTTTCATTCTAGCGCCGTCGCAGCGCTGTGGTAGGCGTCCCGCGCATGCGCACTAGTCTTTCTTGTTCACTGACTCTCAATTGTCGCCATTTTGGTTGCTCTATGTTGTGTTTTCAGTTTGCTGTGCGCATTCAAAATGTTTAAGACAATTAGTTCTCCCGCTGACTGTGAGATTCGTGCCGTGATTAAATTTTTGAACGCGAGGAATGTTAAACCGGCCGAAATTTATCGTCAAGTGACAGAAGTTTACGGTGAATACGCGATAAGTGATGAAATGGTGAGAAAGTGGGTAAGAATGTTTAATGCAGGTCGAACAAATGTCCACGCCGAGGCTCGGAGTGGTCGGCCTTCTGTTGTCACCGAGGATTTGGTAAGGAAAGTTGATGAAGCAATTCATGAGAACAGACGCTTCACAATGACAACTCTTTCAGAGGCATTTCCACAAATTTCACGTACTGTTTTGTTCGAAATTGTGTCTCACGTACTGTTTTGTCGCTTGAGTTATCGCAAACTGTGTTCCCGATGGGTTCCAAAAATGCTCACTGATGTTCACAAAACAAAGCGACTTGGTAGTGCCCTGACATTTCTCATGCGGTACAGTGATGAGGGAGAAAACTTTTTAAACCAAATTGTGACAGGTGATGAAACTTAGGTGTGTCATTTCACACCAGAATCGAAACAACAATCGATGGAGTGGAGACACACTCATTATCCGAAAAAACAAAAGTTCAAAGTGACAATGTCATCACAAAAAATCATGTGCACTGTCTTCTGGGATAGGAAAGGCGTTTTGCTTACTGAATTTTCCCCAGAGGTGTGAAACCATTAATGCGGCACGATATTGTGAGACTTTAACAAAACTAAGGCGTGCCATTCAAAACAAACGAAGAGGAATGCTCAGTAAAGGAATTGTGTTGCTCCATGACAATGCTCGGCCCCATACTGCTGGTCTCACTCAATCGTTAATTCGACAGTTTCATTGGGAGTAGTTCGATCACCCGCCGTACAGCCCGGACTTGGCGCCGTCCGACTATCTCTTGTTCCTGCACATGAAGCGCGAGCTTGGTGGCAAGCACTTTGGATCTGACGATGACACGAAAAATGCTGTGGAGTCGTGGTTATCGAAATTGGCGGGAAGTTTCTTTGACGATGGTATACAAAAACTGGTCACCCACTATGACAAGTGTTTGATCATTGGCGGAAACTATGTTGAAAAATAGTTTAAGACATGTATTTTCATGTAAAAATAAAATTGGATTCGAAAAAATTGTTTTACTTTTTTTTTTTTTTTTTCAAAACGGTACTTAGTTTCCGAATACGCCTCGTAAATGCCTGAAACTTAATAAAACTAATAAAGATGACACTGAAGCAGATTATCCTGACTTACGAATATACAATCTCAACAATAATAGATTACTTGATGAATGATAACATTTCAGTTTCAAAGCAATTAAACTAATCAATTGGAATTCCGATAGTTTCAGAAAAATTAAGGCTATCATTAATCAAATAAAAAGAATAAAATATTATTTGTTAAAACAGTTTATTAATCACATAATTTCCTCACAAAAGAGCTAGCTAAACTTCAGTTGTCAATCTGAAAATCTTTTTCACCACTGAACTGCAGTTTCTCATGTGCTAGTTTACACCTAAACTATTATGGCGGTATAATTCGGATATTCTTAACTCAGTTGAATTAGTCAGTCTTGTCAAAATTCTTATATTAGTTTTAATTTAGATTAGACTCTCTAATAATTATCTATCTATTTATTTAACAATACACCCAGTTCAACTTCCAAGTCTCATGAAAGCCTTTTTCAATGAGTTCTGTATTCTGTAACATTTGACATTTCTCGTCTTTTGCCTCTTTTCTCTTTTATATTTCCTGAAATTTGTGACATTTTTGTTAAATTCATCATTTGCATTCTCTAAGATTTCACAAAACTTTGCTCACGGTTTACTAGACACTGCCCTATGTTGATCACATTTTTAATACAACGATCAAGATTAATTAATATAAATCTTTATATCGCTACATTTACTTCTTCGAGTTTATTTATTTATTCTTCAAAATTTATTTTAACTTTTTCAAAAAAGTTATGTACACTAAGCAGTACAACTGTTTTGATTGCTGAATTAAAAAAAATCATTTGGCACTATAACTACAAGCACTACAACTTTTTCCATTCATTAAAATGAAGCCAACCAAAACTTCACTCGAACTTAACTTCTTGGCAGATAACATTCGAAGATCTCTTTTGATTTTATTCTCTTTTGATTTTTCCGTTTACGAATTATTCATTTTTACTACACCATATTTAAAATTACATTAGAAGTGTTTTTTCTAATTTTTTTTTTTTTTATTTATCTCCTTTCATGTCGAATTTATATTTTTTTATTTCAAAACTTTTGTTGCTCTAATGTTACAGATTTTAGAAACTAACTTCTGTTTTTATTTTTATTTTGTAATTTTAGACTAACTTGTTATTTGTTATTTTTTATATGTTTGATTGCTTCTGTTTACGTATTTTGTTTTTTGCACTCGATTCATTTAGATTTCTAAGCGTTTTTACTTGTTTAAGATTTTCATGCTATACTTATACCAAAGGAGTTGTCCCCAAGGCTCAATATCTGGTCCACTTTTGTGGAATATTATTGCTAATATAGTTTAAAAATAAATTTACCACAAAATACAAGCTTATGCTGACGATTTTGTGTTATTGGCCACGGGACGTGGTCGCCATACTATTGATAAAGCGTTAAGTTTCGCCACTCAAGAATTGGAGAAGTGGTCTTTCTATGTTAAACTCAAATTTGATCCAAAGAAATGCTTTCTTTTGGGTATTTCCAAGACTAAGATCAATACATCCTAGGTGCAAACTGTATGGACAACCAATTAGAGTTTCTAAGATAATCAAATATTTGGGCATTACGATCGATAAAAAGCTCACTTTTATATCTCACCTAGATCAAATAAAAATCGAATGCACCCATATTCTTAATAGACTTAGTAAAATGAATCTCCAAGGTAAAGTTCTTAAGAGTTTATATAAAAGAGCTATTGAGAGAAAGATATTGTATGCATGTGGCGCATGGTGGACCGGAACGGTCTGAATGCTTAAAAAAATTTTGCAAATTCAAAGAATCGCTTTATTGGGGATTACTAAGCGTTTTAGAACTGTGTCCACAGTAGCTCTTCAGATTTTTGGCTGGATGTCCTCCGATCGATATTTTATCGGAAAAAGAATATGCTATCTTTAAATTAAAAGCTGGTAATAAAACTGTCGATTGTTTCGGTGAGATTCTCTCAGCTAGAGATTTTGACTTTGAAAAAAGTTTTGACATTCATCCAGCTTTGTTGAAATGGTTTAATTGGCATAAAGGCCTCCTCAATATGACAGGCTACATGGTTTTTACAGATATATCTAAATTAAATGGTCATGTGGGGGCAGCCTTTTGTGTGTTCTCAGATGAGAAACTAAGCTTACAAAGGAAATATAGACTTTCTGACTATCAGGCAGAGTTAGTGGTCCCTGCGAGAGGCCTTATATTGGCTTATTTCTAATTCTGCGATAGATCTTGTCGAAATCTCTAGTGCCTGCGAAAGCGCAATTGTTTCAATTAGGGATGTTTGTCAAAGTAACGATCTAGTTAAACAGATAAAAGACGTGCTCATTTTTCTTAGCGCTTTCAGAGATATTAAACTCTTTTGGACGAAGAGTCATACCATTGGTAACGAGTTAGCAGATAGATTGGCAAAGGCTACCACCAAAAATCAAATTATTGATTTTGAAGTAAAGACTTCTTTTGACAGTTTGAAATCCTTGTTGAAAAGAAAAAGTTTGACTCTATGGCAAGCAAAGTGGAACGACCCAGATTCTAAAGGAAGATTCACATGTAATTTAATCTCAACTATTAATGAGAGAAAATGCTTAAGTGACAAGTATCTAAACCCAAGCCTTAACTAATCATGGACACTTTCTCTTTTATTATAATAGGTTTCCGATAAAAAAAAATTGTGCCTGTGGCGCGATTAATGTCGATATTGAGCACCTGTTGTTTAGATGCTCTTCTATGAAAAATATTAATCTAAAATTTATTCCATATATTGCTAAACTTGATACTCTAAAGGATCTAAGTAAAAATACAGTGACTAAACTGAAATTGTCAAATTTCATAAAATATGTATCTTTAAATGAAATAAATTTATATATTGATTGTGTTTAAAATTTCCCTGTCTGTTTTAAGGAAACTTAGGATGTTTATGATATTCTGTTATTTTATTTCTTTGTATATGTAAGTAACATATTTTTATGCATGTAAGTAACATGTGCTATATTTTACAGAGTATATAATAATGTGCTTTTGTGGTGTAGCTGGTAAATCTCACCAGCTCCTAGACTTTAAGTTAATATTTTAGTTGTTTATTCTTTATTCCTATTATAATAAAAGTTATTTCAGGTAGTATGGTAGTAGTTCTACTGCTTAATGGACCTTCTTTAGACCTTGTTTTAGATCTCAATGTATCTTTAATTAAATAGATTCACTAAGCCCTATTCAGCCTGTAATGGCGGTACAGAAAGTTCGACCAGTCATATGCTTTTGGTGAAAACTTTTTTTTACTCCACTCTGTATGGTTTCAAAGTTCCATATATTACTATAATTTTTCGTGGGTTGAATTGCTTGTATTTACATTGTTTTGGGATCTCGGTCTGCCAAAATTAATTTTTTAAAAATTTTTTAACCTTCTTTTTTAATCATTTGTTGCTATAATTTTGAAATTTTTTGCAGTACTTACTATGGCTTGTATGGATTGGATTCATAAAGACCCAGATTCCTATGATTAATTTTCTGAATTTATTTTAAGTATTAAACATTAATCTGTGCCTTTCTTGGTTCAGAAACAGGCTGATGAATTTACTACTTTGTTTGAACCTTCCCCGCGATGACGACGTAGCGAAGGATGTAAATTTCTATTTTCCTTTTTATTTTTAGTTATGGCATTTTTTCCCGCATATATCATGCAGTTTGCCTCTGCTTTTTTGTTTTCTGCATATGCATTGTTCCGACCTGAATATGGGATGGATTTTAAATGTACTTCTGAATTTATTTTGCATTATTACCTCTGCTTGTTGCTGCTTTCAGAGCGCAACAGGATTATGTTTTGAACTGTTTTTTACTTTGTATTTATTCCTTTATATACATATGTGTGTGTGTGTGTATTTGCATTAGAAATAAAATCATGGATATAATAGTATCTCTTGAATAGTATAAAATTTTGCTTCTTCCAATTACACTTATTCTGAAACTCTCAATACTTAATTGTCAATACTAAATCATTTCCCTCATCTTTGGAAATGAGAAAATGGGGAAGAGGCATACGTAGATTCCAAATTGTAGCTAGAACGTTTCAGAAAGAATTATGGACAGATAGACAGGTTTCATATAGCTGGCTAAAAACACAGGAATTTTCTAAATATAAATTTGGAGTTTTTAAAATAAGACTTAAGACAATGCTAAAATTGTTTTGTATTATAATGGGAAGACTGCATTAGAAACTCAGCAATAATGCATCTTCCCATTACAGCAATAAGCAATACTGCAGCAATAAGGCATCTTCCCATTACATTATAATAAGAATTATTATTGCTGCTGAAAACCCATTTTCAAAATACTAATTTTGACATTTTTAAAACTTTATCGATTAATTAATTATATTTTAAATTTAATTAAAAATGTATTAAGCATACCTTTAAATTTAATCCTCTTAATTTTTTTTAAATGGCATTATACCGTAAAACGTTTTGTGGAGATATTCTATTTATTTACAGAATTTCAAACAGAAATTTCTTCTGCCGTAATTTGAACTTATTTTAATTTCATTCTCTTTCTTATCTTCGCTTACTTAATGAATTTGGAATATGTGAAGCAATTAAAGAATTATGTTAAAGCATGTTATTTAAATTATGGTAAACATAAGTAAAATATTTCATTGCCTTTTCAGTTAACGTAATAAAATAACTAGGCAGTTTTTTCTGTTACTATAATAAAGTGTTTGTTAAACATCATGTCTTAAAGTAAATAAAAAATCTGGTAGTGCTGAAGCAAAAAAATATCAATAAATAATGCGAAAAATAATGCGTGAAGCAAAAAAATAATGCGTGAAAACAATATTTTCTTAAATAAAGTGAAGAGTAAGAATATTATTGTTTATTTCTTAAAGAAAGAAGCAAAATAATATAATATAAAATCTTAAATAAGTGCAGTGTAAAATTGTTATCATTTATTTCATAAAGAAAGAAGTGCACATTTAATGAAATAAATGTATGAGATCTATTGTATAAAACTTCCAACTTAAATTTTTCTCGAAACAAAACGTATCGCTTTAGAGTGAAACCAGGGATTTTGCAAATTCCTAATTTTGTTGTGGTGCCGATAATATATTAGAAGATGAAAAAATGCAGATTTTGGACGTTTAATGGGCTGTTACATCCTAAATGTAAGCTCAGATATATCCATCCCGCAATGAAATTTTAAAAACCATCGAGATATACCAACCATAGCATTTTGTTGTTCAGTTATTATAATACTTGTTCCGTTTCGTTTCTTACTGTGTATTTCAGTGATAAGCCTAACTTAATGAAAACTTTGCCTTATTTTCATTTTCTGTTCCAGCTTTCTTTGGTCCTGGAGTATGCGTGCTTGCAGTGGCTTTCGTAGGTTGTAATCCTGTCATAATAGTAGTTTTGTTAACAGTATCGCTCGGACTGAATGGATTCATGTTTTCTGGCTTCAATGTAACTCATGTTGACATGAGCCCAGAATTTGCAGGTATGTATTATCTAAAAAACATATTAATTTCAATGATTATCAGTATTTAGAACTCCATTCCCGTGATATTTATGGATGTTTATTAAAAACTTAAGAATGCTAAATCTAAATATGGTATTTATTTTTCATTGTCATCATCAATTTTAAGAGAACCATAGAAATAAATGAAAACGTCCCTTAAAATTTCGCATTTATTCATTTTTTATAAATATTTCAAACATGGAACTCTAACTGATCGTTAACTACCTGCACTTTATATGAATAGAATTCAATAGAAAACAGTACCTTCATTAACTTTTTGGGGGGAACGATTTTATTGGCATAAAAAGTATTCCACAATGAAACCTATTTATAGTCTTTTCTGCAGTATCAAGAAACTTAAATCAGCTCAAGGATTTCATGGTTCTCGTCAGAGTATTTTTGAAGTACCATTCTAATAGTTTCATTAATTCCTTTCATGTTTACAAACATAATTTACAAAAATAAAGGATTAATTCAGATCAGAAAGTTAAACTGTTGACCTCAGTCCAACTGAGTACATCCGAATTGTCTTAGATCAGCGTTCTTAACTTTTTTCAATTGGGGAGCACATTTATGTATTATGCTGCGGACTACCTTACTCTTGTTGCCTTCGAAAAGCAATTTTTTAGCATTTTTTCCTACCACTACATGTATATTTTTAAAACAGAGTTTATTAAAATTGCTTTCATTTTGAATTGGTAATAAGTTATCAAATCATGTTTCATCAAGTTATTTTGTAATCATGGCGATTAGAGTTTTAATAATCTTACTAACTGGCAATTGAATAAATACTGGTTCTCACATTAATGAGATAGATGAACCTGCTGATTCTTGCATATTCGTTCTATGCTTGGATGTACGCTTGTAAGCTTGAATCTGAAATCGTCACATACGCCAAATCGATTTCGGTACATTGTTTTGATTTGAATGAGTGCACGAAATCCCCTTCTCACATAATTATGTAAAAGCAAATTAAATTATGCTTTTTAGAGCACCACTGTATAGTTTTTTATATTCTATTTTCACTAATAATGATAATTATTAGTGAAAGAAATTAACCACACTTTCTGCTTGTAATTTTATTACCACTACATGTATATTTTTAAAACAGAGTTTATTAAAATTGCTTTCATTTTGAATTGGTAATAAGTTATCAAATCATGTTTCATCAAGTTATTTTGTAATCATGGGCGATTAGAGTTTTTAATAATCTTACTAACTGGCAATTGAATAAATACTGGTTCTCACATTAATGAGATAGATGAACCTGCTGATTCTTGCATATTCGTTCTATGCTTGGATTGTACGCTTGTAAGCTTGAATCTGAAATCGTCACATACGCCAAATCGATTTCGGTACATTGTTTTGATTTGAATGTTTGAATGAGTGCACGAATCCCCTTCTCACATAATTATGTAAAAGCAAATTAAATTATGCTTTTTAGAGCACCACTGTATAGTTTTTTATATTCTATTTTCACTAATAATGATAATTATTAGTGAAAGAAATTAACCACACTTTCTGCTTGTAATTTTATTACCACTACATGTATATTTTTAAAACAGAGTTTATTAAAATTGCTTTCATTTTGAATTGGTAATAAGTTATCAAATCATGTTTCATCAAGTTATTTTGTAATCATGGCGATTAGAGTTTTAATAATCTTACTAACTGGCAATTGAATAAATACTGGTTCTCACATTAATGAGATAGATGAACCTGCTGATTCTTGCATATTCGTTCTATGCTTGGATGTACGCTTGTAAGCTTGAATCTGAAATCGTCACATACGCCAAATCGATTTCGGTACATTGTTTTGATTTGAATGAGTGCACGAAATCCCCTTCTCACATAATTATGTAAAAGCAAATTAAATTATGCTTTTTAGAGCACCACTGTATAGTTTTTTATATTCTATTTTCACTAATAATGATAATTATCAGTGAAAGAAATTAACCACACTTTCTGCTTGTAATTTTATTTTAAATCAGGTGTCATTCATGTGTTCAATGAACTGTTCTTTCATTCAATAGCAATTTGTTATTTTTAGTATAGCAATTAAAGAATCATGAATTCAATATCGCAATTAAAGGAACAAATTATGAATATGAATAAATCATAACCATTTGTAAAATAAGTTCAAATTGTGACCTCGGCGTTTCGAGTTGTGAATACATGTCATTACATAGTTCTTTTTAAATAATGATATCATTTTATGCTAAAACTATTTAAGGTTAGATATGGCGAAAAATTTCTTTATTTTGCTCAACCAAGTTTACAAACCAAGTTTCCTCTGAAACCCCTTCATTTTCTTATGAGCAATTAGAGCAATCAAAGAATTACCTTGTAGACCGAGATTTAGTTACTACTTCTGAAAGGTATGCTTGTGCACTTAGTCACATGTAACCAGTAAGAAATGATATAAAATCTTCTATAATTTTGTTTACGGGTAACAGAACTGAAATCTGAGAGGTCCACTAGGGCAAGCTTTGAGAATCATTTGGGTGTCCAGTTTGAGAATAGAAAAACGAACGAACTAGTTTGAGAATAGAAACGAACCATAGTTTGAGAAATGCTCTCCAAGATCAGTGAGTTCCGAAGTAACAGTAACTTGATATTCAAATTACAATTAGGAGATATTCTGCGCTTAACACAGATACTAGAAAACTTTTGATGTTTTAATTTTACTGTGATAAAATTTTAAACTCTTTGATGTTTTACTTCACACTTCTTCAAGCAACACATTTCTTCGCAGCAACAATCACCTAATTTTTTTTTCAAAAATAGAAATTTAGAATTCTCTGAAGAAATAGCCTCGTAGGAACTTGAATTCGTCGGATAAAATATTAATGAGATTAATACTTACTAGTTAGCTGCAGCTTAGACCCAAACTGCCTTCAGTTTTAGAAATTATGAAGACACGTATGAAAACTTACGGCTTACGACAATGGCAATTATGATGCTATTAGCCATACTCTTCGTAAATACTATTTATAGTAGCGATACTGTGATGTTTAAGCTATAGTCCACCAAACAAAGTCTGAATTACAATTTCGTTTTTTGGAATCTCGCACATTTGTATTCTCTTTCAATTCCCAAGAAATGTTTACTTCCTAGAAATCTTCATAAAATAATTAACATTTTAAATTGTTCTTTTTCCATATCTTGAAGTGCAAGAATACTTTGATAACTTCTTTTTGGTTAGAGCATGTTATTCAGAATATAAGGATTTCTAAAAACGTGGCAGTCAGCATAATAGGCTGTTTTCCATTGCTTAATTGTTTCAGTTTTTAACCTGAGAACAACAATGTTTTGTTGCAGAATGGATTAATTAGAATGGAACTTACGAAAACCTTTTTCTGTGGCAAATATTCATACTGTTTATAGGAGTGAGAAATAGGCGAGAAATTTCTCAGAATTAAAACAGATTCACTTCCAAGATTTCGCATCTGCTGACTCTTTAGGGGAAAACAAGACAGCACAATAAGGCAGTCTCACGCATTCCGCTAGATTTGGTCATCATCATAACAAGCTGAATGAGTTTTGTGATAAAAAGATCTTATGGCATAGTATCCACAGTGATGGCATAGTATCCACAGTGATGACATAGTATCCACAATCTACTGGCATAGTATCTACAATGATATCTTTATGAAAATATTAGCTTGCAAATTAAATACAGATATTCATATGATGTATTCCTGAGAATTTTTATTCAAACTGATTTTGAACTTTTTTAGTCAGTGATTTTAAGATTATTTATTTACGAAAAATCTTTCAAGGAAATTAGTTCTTTGACTGTCAGTCTTTACTAATAAAGAATCATTGTTTGAATTTGCTAAGAAGATAATGATTACACTCTTCAGAAATAATGAAGTTTTATTCTCTGCATAATCAGTAATGAAAATGATCAAGATGTTGTACAAACATATCTGATGACACAGACAGACAATTAGAAATTGTGATTCAGTCAAAGAAAACATCTGAATATTCTTCAAATCTTGCGCGAGATTAAAAATTTCTTTAGGCAGTTTTGAAGGGAGAACAATATCAACAATTTAAGGCCACGGCGGTTACAGCTTCTAACACTTTGCAATACATTCATTAAAAATCATTTCACCGACTTCTGCAGGTGGGTTGTTTGCTATGAAATTGAGAAGAAATAGTGGGGATATAAACTCATTAATGCGCTTTAAGTTACTACCAAATGTGGGAAAATTCCTAAAATTGTATACGTATGTTTAAAAAATAATAAGAAAGAAAGAAAAGAAACTTTTTTTAAAAGATCTTATCACTATTTCACATTTATATTATTACATTATTATTTCAAAATTTATTTTAATTACAAATACTTAAAAACAATACTAGATTATTACTATTAAATGCAATACTAGATTATTTAAATACAATACTAGATTAATACTAGAAGGGCTATTAATTCCGTTTTGGCATTTTGCGTCGAAAACTTTAAATGCCCGTTTCACTTTTCAAATTCTTGCCACCAAATATTATCACCCTGTATTATCATCTTATATTTAAAGAAATTAAATAATGAATAAACTGCATAAATGTATGTATGTTTCTCGCACTCATATAATACAGCGGTACCTAACAACTTGTATACATCAAATTTTGAATAACGGAATCCTCCATCGAATATGGATATCTGGAAGTCCTAATTTGGAATTCGTTTTATTATCGAGTTCGTATTTTGTAATACATTAACGAATTTTTTATTAACAAACTCAACGATTTCAAAGCAAGCAATGGCAACACTGTACGGAAAAAAAAGCATTTTTATCTCCAGCACTCGGGACTATGAATCGGAAATTGTAAAGATATACTCATTTTAAAATTAATTATTTTTCGATATTGCTGTCGAATTTAATTGTATGGTTTAAATGCGAAGAACATGATATTTACTATATAAAAGTAACACACAAAACTTAAAAAGGCCCCTTTGGGCGTAATGTAAAATCTGAGAGCTTTCAGTTTTTTTAGTCCAAAGGGGCCAATTTGCCCCATTTTGCGTTGATTCATTATAAATGTCGGTTCATTTTTCAAATTGTTGCCACCAAATATTACCGCCCTGTGTTATATTTAAAGTATTTAAATGAGGAACAATCTGCATAAATGTATGTACGTTTCTCGCGTTGTGATAAAACAACGGTACCTAGAGCCATCCAGTTTTGAATAACGTAATCTTCCCCCGAATATGGATATCTGGAAGCTCTAATTTGGAATTCGAAATTTGTTTTATTATCGTTTGCATATTTTGTAAAGCATTTATGAGTTTTTGATTAAGAAACTCAACGATTTCAAAGCAAGAGATGGCAACACTGAGCGAAAAAAAAAAGAAGAAAAAAAACATTTTTATCTCCAGCGGGCGATACTATGTATGGGAAATTCTAAAGATGTTCTTATTTTAAAATTATTTTGCGATATTGCTGTTGATTTTAATTTTATGGCTTAAGTTCGAAGAACATGATATTTAGTAAATAAATGTAACACACTTAACATTAAAAAAAAAAACACCCCTTTAGACTTAATGTAAAAAAAAAAAAAAAATGTAATTTTTTTTTTTTTTTTTTTTTTTTTGTTTAATTATTTTTTTACTTTTGTTTTATTTGTTTGTTATAAGGTCTTTAATTTTAGCGATGAATAATTAAATTTTCTATATTTCTAAAATTTATACAGTTCTCAGGATTTTGGGAAAATCTCGGACAGCAAAATAACTGCAAATTCCACAATCATTACAATCGAAGCGCAGGGTCTCACCCGCAACAGCTCAACCCCAATGTTTTTCTGCTGCTATAATACCGGTTTCAATGTATGCAGGATCAATGGGAAATGTCAAATAAAATCCAACACTTATCATGACATTCTTACTGTTAAGGAATGGAGCTCAGAAACATAGTTTTGATTTGTTTATGAGTTCCTCTTTCTGTACAAACCTTTACTGTTTGATTATAAAATAAGTTTTAATGGTTCTTGAAGAGTGGATTGGGCCATTTATACTTTAGCATAAGTTGTGTGCCGGTGTTATGATTTTAACTACGCTCCTCTGGCGTTAGAAAAAATTATTTACTTGACTTTCGCCTAGGAAAGTAATGGCAAATATTAATTTTTCTATTACTGCTGTAAGCATTGCTCTGTGAGTCATTACTGTTACTGTTCAACAGAAGATGTTGTAATCACTAGACTAGTACGTGTAACGAGTCTCTGAATAATTGCCCGACAAGTCTAGAATTTTGTCATAAATGAAGAAGGATAGAACTGCGAACAAAAAGAATTTGGCAACTTCGTTAAATGCCTGTTCTTTCTTCGAGACTCCCAACGGCATGCCAGCAATAAGAATTTCTCATATGTATTCTCTTCCTTCTTTCTCTTTTTCCCCCTAGAACTAGATAATCTAATCAAAAATCAATGTTAACAGTCTCAAAAATTTTAAGTATTGAAATTCTTAGGTGAAAACCTGTTTTCTCACCTGACGTCTTATCTGCATGCTTTTGTAAGTAGAAATATGCTTAAGATATCTCATTTGCTAACTGAATTTCCTCATTGAAGGTGGCAATATGTTTTATTCAGGAAAATCCCCGGATGAGTCCGCTGTTTAAGAATCTGTATTGTGAATACTGCTATGACACTGATATGTTAATATACTTTAATATATACAAGTAGTAATAGAATATTGATATGTTCACATTCAGATTTATTAAAATAACATACTGATAAACAACGTAATGGTAATACAATTTTTCTTTATGTTCGCTTAGGTACACTCATGGGCATAACAAACTGTTTTGCAAATTTGGCGGGTTTTTTAGCACCTGCCTATGTTGGATACATTACACACGAAGGGGTAAGAGTATTTTTTAACGTTTAATAAATAATAATAATGATTATGATTATAAATAAATTAATTTAAATATTATAACAGATAGTTTTGAATTACGTTAGATAAAAAATTTTTTTAAAAATTTGCTTTGAATTCCAGTCGTTCTTGACGATGTTTGTTTTGCAATTATGCTTGACCAAATATATATGCCGATGTTAAATATGTAATTTTTAAACTAGTCAATTTGTGATTAACTTTACATATTCGTTGATATGAAATTTGATAGTTAATGTCCATTTCATTAGCATGATTTGTTTTATATATTTTTTAATATTATTCTATAGTATAGTCGAATTGCAACACAGTGTGACATAGTACTAAAAATAATTAAATGTCCTGAAAAATTATATGAAAAGTCATTATGTCCTCAAAAATTATAAAATTATGAGAATTCCTTATCTATAAAAATTTTTATTTGTGTATTCGAATGCCGGATAAAACTTTATAATCAGTATTTTGTTTTTAATTTTGTAATTTTATATAATTTTAAATATATATTCTTATGTTTATTTCTTTATATTTAGATTAAATCAGAATCTAGAGCTTTAATAGAAATTATTAAGTAGGAATAATAAGTGATAAATACTCCAAAACAAAAGACTATTACTAGACACATTTAATTTTCTCACTTGCAAATTGCTCTATAATAACTGAAAACCAATAAATGTTTATCCCTCACTGATAACAAATTAAGTAACTCTCAGTGTCAGTGCATTGAATTGCCTGACGAATGCAATATTGTATAGAACATGCTGCGAACTCTGGTGTTAGTTCTGTGGAGTTTTTTTAGTGCAGATAATGATGTGCCGCCTGTACTCCAGTGGAATCTAATGCACAAGTAGTTGTGTTTGAGGTGCAGGAAATATCATCCGAAGAAAGTAAGGTGAGCAGTAGCATTTCTGCCATACCCGACAGTAAGTGTTACACGCCTTAAGCACTTTAGAACGTTTTACTGCACACAACCCCCGCTAGTTTGACCGAAGCCATGAGTACAGTTAGCCATACAGTTACCAGGCATTTTCGTTTCCATAACCGACAGTGCAATATAAAGCAGTTTAACAAAATATTTGTAAGTACGTTTTTTCAAATTACAGCACAATAACTCATGTAGAGTTTTCGATGATTATATACAGAATTTGCTGTAGTACGCATGGACCCGCATTAAATGATTAATATATAGAAAAACTATTCCAAAAATAAAATTTGAGTTCCCAGTCAATGCAAATTTTTTTTAAACACAAACTCTTGATTTTTCGGTCCCTTGGGTTTCGTGTTAACAAGGGTTTACTGTATTGTCAATCAAAATAGAGATGGAACTTATTCAAACAATAGTCTTGAGCTTTGTCAAAATTAAATAGTCTAATTATTCTGATAATTTTATTGAAATATGAATGCTAATTAAACTGGAATGCGTGTTAAAACTTTAAAATTTTTATTCATTTGATTTGTCTTTCATAAATGCAGAAAAAGTGTACTATTATAAAAAAAAGTTCACTTAAAAATTCTGATTGAATAAGTCAATAATTATGTTCTTAGAAATATGCAATTTAATTTTATTTTCTTTCTTTTTTTTTTCAGCAATCTGTAAAAAATTGGGGAATAGTTTTTCTTACAGCAGCAGCGGTCTATTTCTGCTCAGGACTGCTGTATGATTTTTTCTGTTCTGCTGAATTACAGCCATGGGGCCGGTCTCAAGAATCCGAAGCGTCTGAACAAGGTGACAATAAAAGTCAGTGTAAAAAACCGTCCATAGAAAATGTTTCGACGTGGGCACAACCATCGGAAATGCATAAGCAAGTTGACAGCATTAAACGGAATACAAAACTTCCTGCATAGAAGTTCTTAGCTTTGGGATTTATGAAAGTCGGGAAGCCAAATCCTCAGCTTACCGTAGTGGTTTAAAGCAGATGAAGAGATAAACTGGACTGAGCTGGAAAAAAAGCGTCTAGCGATGCATATTCGTAACAGATGCTTTTCGTGACAGAAATGTAATACATATTCCTAACAGAAAACTCACTCAAATGTATTGCATTAAATATAAAGGTCATTTCGTATTTATTTCCATCAACAAAATTGTACTGAGGAAAAAAGGAATTCCAAGTGTCATCAAGGAGCTTTTATAGGTTCATCGCAGTATTTAATCCATCGGTAAGCTAGAGGAGATAAATCCACCACCAATAATTTTGTTTTGCTAGAATGCTCAAATGAAATGTATTGCACATATTTAAAATTTCTAAAAGAACTGTGAAAGTGAAATGAAATACATGATCACTAGAATATCAAAACGGAATTTTAAGCGGCAATATTTGCTGTGTAATCTATTGTTAATGTACACCTTACCAAAAAAAAAAAAAAAAAAAAAAAAAAAAAAAAAAGAGAGAGAGAGAGAGAGACAGTTCTATACCTCTCCCTTTATTGGGCCGACTGGCGAAATCTAACTCGCATTTTTTATGTCTCGAAAGCGCGACTTAGGATACATATTAAGTTTATGAATAGCAATTGTTCTAACATCTGTATTCTGAGACAAAATCGGACTTTAAAATGACATACCGATTTTTTTGCCATATTTCGATTTTACGACTCAAATTATGCCCAGGTGCCAAGTTTTGTAAAAAATCGCACGAGTAGTTTTTAAAAAATTAACTCTCAAAATTTTAGCTCCTCAATGTTAATTGAATTTGGTATATATTTAATAATATCTCTTTTTCTGTTAAACTGACTTCCTTCCTTCTTTCTCATTTAGAAATTTAGGTTCAGTCTATATAAAAATCGCAGCTATTTGCCGATTTGTTTTTAAAATTTGTATTTTTTAGTGATTTTTATAAATTTTTCGAAAAACGTTTTGAATTATAACCAATCAAATTTTTACCATCAACTAAAAGTAGATGTATTTCTAGGCACACCTGCAAAAAATTAGAGTTCTTATTCAAACTGTCCAATATTAGAGTTTTTATTCAAAATTTAAAGATCTACGTGAATTTATTTCTTGGCCAGGTTTGAAATTTGGCACTTTTTTTTATAAGCGGTAATAACGCCAAAAGTGTTTTACGCACTTTGTTAAAATTAATTGAAAGTATGAACGATGCACCTTTTTTCCGCTCGTGCACAAAGAAAAAGGGGAAAGGAAAATAGGTTACTATAAATTCAGAATTTCACCAAGTGAATTATTCTTCGCCAAATTGAAAAAAAATGCACCAAAATTAGTTTGTAAATTTTTAGGTAAGTTTCTCACCAGATTTTACAAAATTTAATATTTGGGAATAATTTGAGTCATAGAATCGAAATATGGAAAAAAATTCAGCATGCCATTTCTGAAAAGTTCGACTTTGTATCAAAATATCTATGTTAGAATAATACTATATATAAATTTAATATATATCCTAAGTCATGCTTTCGAGGCATGAAAAACGCAAAATTTCTTCAACCGGCCCATTAAAGCGAGAGATATATAACTGTCTTTTTGTGTCTGTGTGTGTGTGTGTGTGTGTGTGTGCAAGGCGTATAGTGGATTGTACTTTTCCAGTAATATTACTTCTAAGGTGTATACTGGATTGTACTTTTTTAGTAAATTTACTTCTATTATTATTATTTAGTAATTATTCTTACTTCAAAGGAAAAAATAACATGGTGAATTATTTATTGCGTACAATAAAATAGCATTTTTTTTCAAATACTTTGAATTCTAAATCAAGTACCCTGGTGTAAAAAAGTCTTGATTTATGTGAAATTTTTATATTTGATCAAGTGTTGAAATCTTCTGATACTTTTGCAACACCCAATAAATTTCAGTTTTCACTGCTTATTCAATAATTTTTTTTTCAATATAACCTGAAATGAATTCAGTGAAAAATTGTTGTGAGACATATATTTACTATACGTAGTACTATTCAATGTCTTTTACATGAAGACATACAATAATTAGATTACTTACAGAACCAGGAGAGAAAGTTTTTTTAGATAAAAGCAATTAGGAAATTTTCGGGAAACTTACCGCTTGCGGTTTTTAGTTCTGGGTGCTGAGTTGAAACACAAGTTAAGTTTCTTCCCCGGCAATGCTATTCTAATGGTTCCAGTGTTAAAATTAGAAGCTCCCATTTCTTTCTCATTTCCTTATTCGATACGTATAGACCCATCGAAGAAACTCAACCACTCTTTGCCACACGAAATGTTTAAAAGATGTTCTTCGGACAGTTCGATTAATTGTTTATCTCATTTCTTAAAACATAACTGTTGGTTTTTTCGAAAGAATATCCTCTAACCTGCGGAATCATGAAAACAATTACTAGATAAGGCACTACAAAACGATCTTTTTACGACACACATGGACCATTCCAAGGTAGTTGTTGTTTTGAACTGAGTCCTCTTCGTCCAATCGGGTTCCACAACATCACCTTGTCTCCTTCATTGAATCGATGTACAGCAGCTCTCGTGTCGTATCGGGTCTTCACCTTTTCCGTCGCCACGTTGACTTGCTCTTGCATCAATTCAAACCGTCCTGGAGATCTTGGACATGTTCTTCAGGCGATGAAGGTACATCCGGAGGGCTGCCAAACAAGACATCACGTGGAAGTCGAGAGTTACGACCGATGAGCATCTGGCAATGAGAATAGCCGGTAGTCGGATGTTTCTCGTTCGTCCTAGTATAATTTCGGCAGCTTTTTGAGCAGGGTCTTCTGGACAAGGAGCTGGCGTTTACAAGTGAGGATCCTTTCTGATGATATATGATTATATCCTCTGATGCTGAAAGCAGTTTGTTGTTTTTGAAGTCCAAGGAAAAATCGTCGTATTTCCTTAAAAAGTCCCATCTGAGTATGCAGGGATCTGTAATATAAGCCACGTATGCCATGTGATAGTAGGCGGAACTTCCAAACCTGATGTTAACGTTTAATTTCCCATCTATCGAGATTTTATCACCAGAGGCAATCTGGAGGGTAACACTGGATGGCTTCCAATTGATTTTGTCTTTAAACTATTGAACTAAATCTTTCCGAATGATGGTAACATTAGCTCCTGTGTCAATGATCATATTGCAAGGAACTCCATCAATATGTCCATTAATGGACAGTCCGTTACCGTTGCCACTCACTGTAGAAATCTTGAGCGCTTTAAAACAACGTTTTTCGTTATCTGGCAACCTCGGTTCCTTGATATGTACATTAATTTGTTTCCTGTGTCGTTGCTGAGAAATGGTGCAATTTCTGTGCTCTGGGGAGGTTTCTGCAGTTCCTTCGCACATGGCCCTCAGTTCCGCAGTTCCAGCACTTTGGTTTCTTGTCACTCCTTTTCCGTCCCATGGCATTTAATTGTCTGTTTAACTTGTGTGTCTTATTTTCCGCGCTCTGAGGTGTTCTGCAATTCCTTCGTAAGTGTCCTTAAACACCGCAGTTCCAGCACTTTAGTGTCGGTTTCGTTTCCTCAATATTCCGTCTCAAGGCATTCACTGGTCTTGTCAAATCATCTGTTTTATTTTCCGTGTCCTGGAGTGTTCTGCAATTCCGTCGTATGTGGCCTTCAGCACCACAGTTCCAGCACTTTACGGTCGATTTCTTATCACCAGTATTCCGTCTCAAGACATTCAGTTGTCTAGTTAAATCGTCTAGATGAGCAGTGACTTGATCCACTGGCTCCTGGACTTGAGCAGCTCTGATTGGGTGGCGGTCTCTACGAGTTGCTTGCTGGCCTGCCTCGAATTTTATGGCGTACACTAGAGCGCTTTTTACGTCCTTGACATCCACCATTCTCAACGCTTTCTGTATTTCGGGATCCCGGATGTCGTCGATAAAGTATTGCAGGGACAGGATATCCCTTGTTTCGGTCAGGCAATCCAAAAAGGCGAGGTGAGATAGCCTTTCAACATCCGTGGGGAGCTCCTGGAGTGTTTCCGTTGGCTTCTGTTGACGGGATTTTAATTGAAATCTGCTGTAGTCTTACACTTCCCCCCAAAGCGGAGCTCCAATGCGCCGGTCAGAGCTTCGAAAAGGTCAGAGCCTTTGGTTTTCCGGCAGAATATTCGCAGCGTCTGCTCCCAAAGAAACGGCGAGATGACAGGCTTTAGCTTGGGAATCCCATCCGTTCGCTTCAGCCACTATTGCAAATTGTGTTTTATACGCTTTCCAAGAGGTCTTCCCATCATAAGTAGATAGCTTCAGGAGGGATGAGTAGGCATAGGTAAAAACGTTGAAATCATCAGAATTGCTTCCTGCCGTCGCTACGAACTTCTTTAAAGTATCAACTTTTTTTCGCAACTGCTGAAACCCTATCATCAATTTATTGTTCGACGGCAGAAACTCTCTCTTCTATATATTTTATTACAGAAGAAACTCTTTCTTCTTTTAGAGAAGAAACTTTTTCTTCAATTTTTCCGATCTTTTTTTTTTTTTCAACAGCGTCTATTCTGTCTTCCATAGCCTCGAATTTATTTTCTATTATGCAGGTAATTTTTCTTTTCATTTTCTCTTCACCTGCTTTAATCTTTCCTTAAACGGCTTTCATCTCTTTTCTTAACTGATTCTTCCACCTTTTCTGACGAGATTTCGTCTCTTCTTTCACGGAGTTAACGGCCCCTTCCATCTTTCTTTAACTAATTTCATCTTATCTCTAACAGAATCTTTCATCACTTCTTTAAATGCACTAAAGGCTGCCATGCGTTGCCTTAATTGCTCTTTCATCGCTCTTGCAATTGGCACCCAAAACCCAAATCCTGACACCAAAAATCGTTATGAATTGAATGCAGAAGTCCAATGAAAAGAGAATAAAAATTTTTATTATCGCAACAAATTAAACAAAATGCTTAAAGTTCTTCAGATATTCGTACAATATCCCAAAATCTCCCAGTAGTTATCTTTTAAACTACTAAAAATGTTCAACAGAACTTAATTCAAAACAGAGAAATGTAGAGAAAGCTAATCCAATTTCACCGCGAATTAGCTACATTTAACAACAGCAGTTTTCTAAACAAACTCATAAAACAACTAACTGAATTGAGAGGTTTTTCCTACTTTTATAAGCTTTTTAAATCACGCACCAGCACATTCTGTTATTTTTCGATTTTTCCCGAAAAGCAAAAGCCTACAATTACGAGATATCTATTTATCAAACGCGCGTGCTCCTGTATTTCTCATTTTTCCGGCGTAGCTTTCTCTTCAAATAAGTCGCGTACAGCACTGCACGGGGAAATGAAACAATTTAGTAACAATTCTATTAAAAACAGAAATTTAAATAAATCAATACAAAACCGTAACAATATTTTCGGGAACAATGCAACAGGGGAAGTTATACTAATGGGATCGAAGATTCGATGAGCAGCAGAAAGTATAATTTTCTTGTAACTTTTTCTACACAAAGCTCTCTCAAACTAGTCACACTGATACCTAAC